TGAGGCTTGCGACCAAAGTCAAAAATAACAAAAAAAGCTTCTTTCAACATGTAAAAAACAAGAAAAAAGTGAAGGAAATGATTGGTCCATTAGTGGGTGGAAGTGGCAAGAAGGTGACAAGCAACAGGGAGAAAGCAGAACTATTTAACTCATTTTTTGCATCTGTCTTTACACAAAGGGAAAAAACAGACCAACCTATCAAAAATAGTGCCACAAAAAACAAAACAGAAACACAAGTTAAGATAGGCAAGAAAATCGTTAGTGAGCACCTGTCCAGCCTAGATGAGTTCAAATCGCCAGGACCAGACGGATTACACCCCAGAGTTCTCAAGGAACTGGCAGATGTGATATCGGAGCCACTGAACTATATTTTTCAAAGATCCTGGAACACAGGGGAACTACCAGAGGACTGGAAAAGAGCTGATGTAGTTCCCATCCTCAAAAAAGGAAAAAAAATGGATCCAGGAAATTACAGACCTATCAGCCTGACCTCAATACCTGGGAAGATCCTGGAAAAGATAATCAAACAACGAATCAACGAACACCTAGAGGCAAACAAAGTCATTACTAAAAGCCAACATGGGTTTGTCAAAAATAGATCATGCCAGACAAATCTTATTGCATTCTTTGACCAAGTGACAAAATTAGTGGATCAGAGGAATGCTGTGGACATAATTTACTTGGACTTCAGTAAGGCATTTGATAAAGTAGATCACAACCTACTACTTGACAAGATAGAAAAATGTGGGGTAGACAGAACCACCACCAGATGGATCCGTAGCTGGCTGACCGGCCGTACTCAGCGAGTGGTCCTCAATGGAACTGCATCTATATGGAGGGAAGTGTGTAGTGGGGTGCCCCAGGGCTCTGTTCTGGGCCCAGTACTCTTCAACATCTTCATCAACGATTTGGATGAAGGGATAGATGGGGAACTCATCAAATTTGCAGATGACACCAAGCTGGCAGGAATAGCCAACACTCCAGAAGACAGGCTTCAGATACAGAAGGATCTGGACAGACTTGAACACTGGGCACTAACTAACAAAATGAAATTCAATGGTGAAAAAAGCAAGGTTCTACATTTAGGCAAGAAAAACCAAATGCACAAGTACAGCATAGGTGGCACCATGCTCAATAGTAGTAACTGTGAGAGGGACCTCGGAGTCCTAGTAGACAATCACTTAAATATGAGCCAGCAGTGTGCTGCAGCTGCCAAAAAGGCCAACACAGTGCTAGGCTGCATTAACAGAGGGATAGAATCAAGATCACGTGAAGTATTAATACCACTCTTCAATGCCTTGGTAAGGCCACACTTGGAATACTGCATCCAGTTTTGGTCACCACGATGTAAAAAAGATGTTGAGACTCTAGAAAGAGTACAGAGAAGAGCAACAAAGATGATTAGGGGACTGGAGGCTAAAACATATAAGGAACGGTTGCTAGAATTGGGTATGTCTAGTTTAACGAAGAGAAGGACAAGGGGGGACATGATAGCAGTATTCCAATATCTCAGGGGCTGCCATAAAGAAGAGGGAATTAAGCTATTTTCCAAAGCACCTGAAGGCAGGACAAGAAGCAACGGGTGGAAACTAATCAAGGAGAGAAGCAACCTAGAACTAAGGAGAAACTTCCTGACAGTGAGAACAATTAATCAGTGGAACAGCTTGCCTCCAGAAGCAGTAAATGCTCCAACACTGGAAGTTTTTAAGAAGAGACTGGACAGCCATTTGTCCGAAATGGTGTAGGGTTTCCTGCCCGAGCAGGGGGTTGGACTAGATGACCTCCAAGGTCCCTTCCAACTTTACTACTATTACTAAATTAGGCAAATCCTTTCTTCTTTTTCTGCCCTCTATTCAACTTTAGCCCCCTCCCCCCCTTCTTTGTCTGGTTATTCCCCAGGAAGCATCTCTTTCCCTGATCTCCCAAGGCCATTCCCATATACCATTATATTTAGTTATTTTCCATGGGACAGAGGAGAGTTGAGAGGAATTTTTCAAGATACCTGCTGTACTATCCATTTCCAGAATGTTTGCCCTACATGGACAGTAAAGAATTATTGTTTTAATTTTTATTGACGATAGCATGAAAATCTGTCTTGTTCAAATTGATATAGTATTTAGTTCTCACTCTCAGATCCATTCACTACCAAATTGATACCTGGAACAGTACAAGACATGCAGAATTCAGACTATGCTTATAATAGTACAGTGCTAGAATTCTGTGCCTCTGTAGATTAGTTTCAAGTGCACAGAGCTTATTTTTGATGTCATTTGCTCTATCTTCGTTGAATTAAAAAATGAAGTGAAAAGTGACTGTAATTTAAATCTATATCTATATTTTTCCAAGGAGAAATAAACTTGCCTATAAGAATTAAGGGTGCATAAGAATCTTCTATGCAATGTACTTTTAGCCAATGTTTTAACTGACAAGTTCTCATATATGCCTCTATATCGGAAATCTAATTGCAATCTGGGAAAGCGTTGGAATGCAGCAATGGAGGTGAAACATCACTGTTATAAATTTAGCCTGGACTATTTCTAATGCTGTGTGTGCACCATAAAGCATCAACCTTAGTACCTTTGCCTTAAAGGCTTTTACTGCTTCAGGGACAAAATTATTGCCTTTGCTGCTAGCAAATTGAGTTGGAAGGGGAGGGAGGTTGGTACATGTTCATTTGGTTCTTCCACATTAAAGAGGATTTGGAAGATAACTTCCACATATTTAAAATCTTTCACTTGCTCAATGGTGACATTATTTATCTTCCAATTAGGCATATATCTGCTGCATGTCTTGGTAAAGATTACAAAGAGTCTTTAGTTTTGGTGTAATAGTTTTTTAACATTATTTTTTATAGTATATTGTTAATTGCAAACTCTACCTTAGGTCCAACTGGGATAAGATAAAGTCACTGCATTGTCAGTTATATAGAGACAGGCTAATTCACCAATAATGGAAGATATTACTCATTTTTGGTTCAACTTGAGTAATAGATTCCTTCTTGAAATCTAGGGTTTGCTTGTTTCCTTCTTGAAATCGAGGGTTGGATATGCAATTTGGAGGGGTGCATCTGACTTGCATATAAGTATTTTCGTGTAGTATAATAATCTACAATAGAAGATTATTTAATGCAATAAATTGAGATGTCTGGCCAATTGATTTGAAACAATCTGTCTTGAAACATTAATTTTTTTTCAAACCGTTTTTAAATCAATGGAAATAAATTTTAAGAGATATAAGATACAGAGAGAGCCAGTATGGTCTAATGGTTAAGGCACCAGGCTAGAAACCGGGAGACAGTGAGTTCTAGTCCTTCCATAGCCGGGAAAGCCAGCTGGGTGACCTGGGTCAGTCACTCACTCTCAGCCCAACTCACCTCACAAGGTTGTTGTTGTGGGGAAAATAGAAGGAGGAAGGAGTATTAGATGTGTCCACCATCTTGAAAGGTGGGATATAAATAATGAACAAGTAAATTTAAGACATAGGTTTATTGGATATGCACTAAATAGTTGAAAATATTCACTCAGCCCTTCAAGATAGATCAAGGCAGGAAACATATTCCACAAGAAATACTGGAGCACTTTATTGATATAGGGTATACAGTAGTAACAATCTTGAAAGCCTAACTGGCATTTTCCTTCCCTCCCTCTTGTGCTAAAGGGAGTCGAGGCAGAATCGCTTCAAATTTCTTTCTAAATCTTTCTTCATTTCCTAGGTTAGTTCATGTTTCGCTGACTCCTACATTCCTTCTCCAAGGTCATTTCTGTGGTTCTCTATGTGTCCTGCCTTTAACCATGCTGTTGGTGTGATTAAAGGAGTGTGTAATCTATCTCCCCTTGATCTTGAGACTTGGAATGGAGAGGTCATCTTTATTTTTGTTTGTTTGTTTTTGAAATTGCTTATTTCCTGGCAAAAAAGGGATTGGGAAAAAAAATACTCTTCATAGGTGCTCAGTATATGAAGTCCAGTTTTGAATATTAATTTCACCTAAGTGTTATCTATACAATTAAAGAATCATTGAAATCATAACTGCTAAGTTATTTTAGCTCTCCTATCTGATGTTTATCTTTTGTGACATAAAATTAAAAAAAAAAGATTACATTGAACCCTTGACAGTTAAATATAAAGGCTAGATCTGGTGTGTTGTGGTGAGAGTTCTTCTGCTGTATTAAAATGGTTCTGCTTGAGCCTGGGACAGTAAAGCTTTCAGAAGAGTGGGATAAGGCAGCTTTCAGATACTTGATCTTGTGTGATGCCAGGTGCTTCTTCTCCACCAAAGAACAAGCCAAAATCTCATGAGATTGCTAATCTGAAGAGTTGTGCAACTTTTAAGTTCAAATTGCTTTAACGTTGCTTCAAAATCATTTTAATTGGGGCGAGTTGCACAATTTGAGGAATAACATGTATGAAGGTACCCAAAGGCTCTGTGTTGCCAAGCCCTTTGAACAAAAGTTCCTTCTGTTCAAAAATTAGGGGATCATAGCCTTTTTAGGTGCAATCAGATTTAATTACATGGTTCCTTGCTAAATTCTTTAAAGCAAAAAAAAACAAAAAACAAAACCCTGAAAACATCAGAGACAGTGACTACTAGAAAGAGAGTGCTGCCCTAGTGTTTTGAAATTCGGAGCTATAGAATTATATTTCTGAAAATATGTATCATTTAAATATAATTAGGATAGTTTTTAAATGTTCTGGAGATGCTAGCACTTTGATCCCTCAAAGACAGTATTATCGGTGCAGTTTGTGGCTTCCATTTTGCTTATTTGTAAGCCTGGTTAAATTAATTAGGAAAAAAAAGGAAGAAGACAAAAAAAAAGAAATAGTTGCTTTTTCTGATGATCTTAGCTACACAATAATGTACATGACACAAATGCACTTAATACTGTAGCAGGGGAAGCACCTCACTGTTTAAAGCATAATGATTGTGGTAATAGCTTTCTTTTTTCTCAAAGACTTTATATGTGTCCTGGTTTCTTATGTTTGATCATCTCTCCCTTGTTTAGATCCCTCTAGCTGAGATGGAGGCTTTGTCTCTGACGTCAGATATTCTCTCTGAAAATTCCTGGTCCTTAGCTCTGACGGATGACTCTTTACCTGATGATAATAACACACTCTTACTTAATGCCCTGGAGAGCAATGTACATACACTGGTCGCTGTATTTTATGATGCTAACAGGGTTCTAAATACTGTTATCAAGAGGGTAATATCAGCTATGGCATTTTCAGATGAGCAGTTCTTAACCTTTTATTAGCATAAAGAAATCTGTTCCATTGGGATTAGCCTCAATACTACCTTTGAGGTGTGTTTGTACTCCTTGTTATGTGTATTACCCACTAAGAAAATCAGATTCTCTTGAAAAGTATATCAAGCAACTTCAAGGTGATTACATTGCTTACAGTTACATGGAAAATGCCATGATATAAAGGATCCCACTTTGAATCAAAACTGTTACAAACAGACGTCTAGGAAGTTTTCTCAACTTACACTCTAAAATTTTAATCAAAAATGGCTTTTTAAAACATTGTGAAACATGTTTATCAGTATTTTGAGCCCTGCTTTAACCATCTCCTCCTGAAACATTAGATATTATTAGCTGCTTAATAGCGATCAAATGCTTTATTTCTGCTGTACAACAGACATAACTCCTTCCCAACATTAAGCGGATCCATTCTTATTTTTCTCTTGTTCACATATCTACTTTTAAGCTGTGTGTTGTGTTGATGAATTCTCTTATCATTCTAGTAGATTGCCATAACAGTTATTACTTGTGTGGGACACATCTCTCTTAAACCGTGACGGTATTTCCCATCATGCTTCATGGCATCATTTGCAAAAGACTTAGAAGGCTCCGGTGAAAGTTTTCGAATGGTGAATTTCCATTCAAAATGAGATACCAAATGAAGGGGAGCATTTTACCATCTATCAAGATAAATCATAAAGTAGGATTATGGCTCCGGAAAACTCTAAAGTCCCATAGATTACTTGTATCAAATCACAAGTCAATCCATTCACTTGACGAAAATATTAAGACCTCTAACTTCAGACAAACTGTAGAAGCTTGTAAACAAATTTAAATATTATTTAAGAATGCATACCTTCCATATGAATAATTCAAATTGTTTTAATGTGAATTGCTTTTATATTATTACATAATATATAAAAAACCTTTCAGGACTATTAATACAATTGAGAAAAGCTATGTTTTTAAAATGTGGCCCTTTAATTTTAAAAATATTTTGAAAGAGTTCAGTATGTTACAAAATTCATCATTTTTTGTTTTAAGGCCAGTTTCAGATATATCACAAATATAAAATGAGTTTTATTTCTTCTTAGGGAACTATGGGTATAACTGCACCAACTGTGTTTTACAGTGTATTTAATTAGCAAATATTATGTGTGGCTTATAATATTTAGACTTAATCTGACACCTTATCCCACTGTGTTTTCTCAGTATGATTTAGTTGTAAGAAGTGAATTCTTCATAAAACTGCTACTAATTAAGATTGGTGCTTAAATACAACAATGGAAAACATTCTCTATTGCTTTTCATCTAAGCTATTAGGTCATTCTTACTCCAACAAGACCCAAGAGCTTATTGTAATTATTATTAACAGTTTATTTATGTTGACTAATTTACTAATCTCCATGGATACTTTTACTCTTGTTGTTTCAGACTGTACAGTATCCAATTATTTTACAGTTCTATAATTTGGCAAAGTTAAATATCTAAGAACACATGTGTGCGTTCATATTCTTTTGAAAAATCAGTAAATTTCTAAAAGATTGGGTTGGATCCAGACTAAATCGTATCATATCTCATTGAAATTAATGAGTCTTAAGTTAGTAATGAGTAGTAAGTCTATTCTGAAGTATCCTAAAGGTTTTTCAAAAAGTAGAACATTCTAGATCAGACATGTCAAACACAAGGCCCGGGAGCCAGATATGGCCCGCGATGTGGTTTCCTGTGGCCCACGAAGCCATCCTGGAAACAGTGAGGAAATGGCCCCTGCTGCCTTGGCCCCGGCCCTGGCCGCCTGGGAGCCAATGTACAATTTTGTGGTGGCCATCTATGCTGAAACGCATTCAGTTTTAGCTCCACAAGGCTGTCTGTAAACAGCAAGGGACCGGCCCCTGCCACGTTGGTCTTGCCCCCTGGGTGCGTGCTGGGGAGGTGTCACCCTTTGTGAGGAATGAAGAAATGCACCATCGCCTGGAAGTGGCTAGCAAATGGCCCTCACTTACTTCACATATCGGCTTGATGGGCTCTGGGGGAGGGGTTTCAGCAGGCTCTTCCAGTGGACCATGCCTTGGCGCTTGCCCTGGTCCCACCCCCTTCTATCCCACCCCTGCCCCCACAGGCACTCTTGACGCGATGTAGAGCTGGCCATGCCCGCCCAGTAGGCCACACCCACTCCAACCACGCTCACCCAGCAGGCCGTGCCCACCCTGGCCACACCTACCCTCCCACCCCAAGGACAACCGCAATGCTGATGTGGCCCTCAATGAAATTGAGTTTGACACCCCTGTTCTAGATGCCAAACCGAATGACAAACTGCAACTATTCCATCTATCCTATCTTAACAGATTTTAGATTTCTATTTCTACTAAAAGAAATGAAACCATGGGAAAAAGTAGGAATGGTTTTGAAGGCAAAGTGATGAAAGCCTTATTTGGAAGTAACCTGTATCTGCTCAGGCTGACAGTATTGTTAGAAGAGCAAATGCATACAGAAAAGCAAAGATAATAAAAGTTTTTTTAAAAAAATCTATATGTAGACAACAGCTGGAGCAGCTGGTATAGATTTATCCAAACCGTAATTAATGTCAATTTTATCTTGTCAAATGAATTTCCACAACTTGCACATACATTCATTGAAGCTGTCTGGGCATAGCCCAGTATTTGCCATAAAATGAAATATATCACTGCAGTAGGGAGGGGAAGATCATTTATATAAGATTCCACTGATTTTAATTGAATTAGGATATCATCTAATTTAACAGATAAAAAAGACTTGATAGTAGTGTACAATGCATTTAACTGTGTTTATCTGAATCATTAGCTATAGATAATTCTAATATCTAAATCCTTAATTGAAAACAAGAGTTAAATTCGTTCTATGTGTTAGGGAAATTAAAAACTATTGGCTAAACATACTGTATAATAGGTACTCTATTTATATTTTGTTTCACTGTGAATTAGATTAAAAAATCTAACATCATATTTCAGCTGGAATGAGACCAGAGACTTTTGTAACAGTACATTTTTATTATTTAGATTTTTTTTTCTTTTAAAATATTTTCCTTATTGTTGAAAATACATTATCAATGTTCCTTTGTAATTCTGCTTGTATATGCAGGCTTATTTTTAGCAATACAAAATAAAGGTCACAAACAGAATATACTTTCCATAGATCAAGGTAGCTCCCTGTTTGTTAAAAAAAATTAGCTAGAATTATGAGCTGATTCCTGCAAAAGCTTCCTTTGAGCAGGAAGAGATTGAAAAGATTTGTATTACTCATTTAAAAGACTAAAGTTTTGCAAAGCATGCAACTGTTAACCAAGCCTTGAGGCATGATGCTTGTTCAACTAATCCCGAAATAGTCATGGTTTATTGTTGTAATGTTGTTTCCCTGTTCCCCTGTATTGTATATTTTGTTTTTAATGTGGTTCATTCTATGTTGGTGCTTTAGTAATAGTAAAAATGTAGGGTTATTGCTTCCTGGTCAACTCATGTGTGCAATTTCATTTGGTTATACTAGAAGTTGTACAGCCTAATAAATTGCATGCTCACCACATCTCATGTCTGTTGCAGTGGTTGTCACCACAGTTCCAGTACACACATGCTTTTTCCACTTCTGTGACATTCTCTTTCTCTTTTTTTTCTTTTTTTAGACTGATATTCCTTCCATTAATGATGACCCCCTGATTCTCTCATCAAATCAGGATCTGCTGAGAGTAGGGAAGACTTCTGTGGGCCGCACCCATTCTCTGCCAAATGACAGCTATATGTTTCAGGCTCCAGATACTGGCCCCCATGATACTTCCTCGGGAGAAAAAAACTCAACTCATCAAAAATCTCAGTCAGGTACAAAGCATTTGCCTCAAAAAAAAAAAAAACCCATACAAATGTGGCTTCCCAGGTAGAGCTTTATGGAAGTGTTAGTTGGTTTGCCTTTTTTAAACCTTGGATATATTTTGCAAGGTGTATGGAAGTCTAGTGCTGAGACTGAAATTCCGGATTGTCGAATTGAATGGGCCTTGTGCATAAATCCATACAAATCCCAGCTGACTTGAAATGGAAATGGATGATGAGGACAAGAAACAAGCTGGGCTGGCAAGAATGCTCAATTTCTTGTTGCTTCTCTGCTAAAACCTCTCCTACCAAGTTTTATATGAAATAGCATGGCAATTATTTAGACCAGGGAAGAGTGACAGATCACCTGCCTCACGTTGTTTTACCACTCCAGATTGGCCCACCTGAAACAGCTTTTTCCATGAATCATACACCCATGTAACGTAGAGCAAGGCCCTTATTTTTTTAAAAGAACCTGAACTTTTCTAGGGATTGCTCCTTGCTCAAATCTTTGGATCGTTAAACTTGTCCTTCACTGCTGTAAGTACACTCATCAAGTCATTTCATGTCTTCACTTGTTTTCTCCATTGTAAAATATCTTAGGTATACATTTTTTTTTAAGACGTGTAAATTGGAACTCAAACTTGTTAGATTAATTTACAACGGATGCTAAGACAAACTAAGGCTCCCTTGTGACATTGCCACCCCTCTTCCTAACACAATGAAAAGCTGTGAATCTTGCTGTGGCACTGCTGAAAATTCTGCCTGACCAAACACAGAGCGGTGGAATAGGTGGGGAAGAAGAATATACAATACAATGAGATTGCATCTCCAACAATATTACAGGATGAGAATAGGGAGTGATGCAGGAGTGTTTATTTTGTGTGGCAGCCCTTTATTAGCCACTCCAACTTGTTTCAGGCTGAGTACTGCTCTCCCTTAGCAGTAATGTGAAGTGATAGGACAACATCTATACAGTATTCGTTTTTCTAAAGAGTTGAAATTGCACCATCACTTCTCTGCTCTCTGCAATGAAAAGCAATCTTATTAAAGTCCCCGGAAGAAGAACTAAGGTTTCCTTAACAAGAATCCTAGGGGATGGTTTGAGACTAGTTTCTCTCCTAATCTCTCTCTCTCAGAAAGCCTGTTTTAGGATCAAGGAGAATTTATTGTCAAGTGTCTTCACCCAGCACTTGAGAAAGGTACAATATGTGAAGAGGTTAGTAGAAAGATATTAAAATTTGCATATTAATTGCTGTTTAGCAGCAGGAATAAAAATGCAGAAACTATAGCTATTAAGCAAAGCAAGGATACCTTGACACTTTAGCTTAGCATAAAATAATGTAAAATCACATGCAGTATTCAACATAGCATAACTTAAGAGTTTATAAAATTATCCATGTCTAGAATGTCAAAATCAAGGAATCAAGCTTGATTTCAGGGAAGCACAACAACAAAATCTAAACAAAAAAAACCACTAGAATCTTATGCTGTATCAATCTGGTTGGTAATACAACAGAAAACTGAAGTTTTATAATGAAGATGAACTAACATCTAGATATAGCATATATTTTTTAAAAATACTAGAGTATCCATAATTTATACTTGCATATGAATATAAATGACATTTATAAACCAACTATGAATCACAGTTCCCTAGGCAGTGTATAAATTTCTTGGCAATACAGGATAAAATAAAAAAGTAGCAACATATTTCATATAACAATAAAAATCATAATAAATGCAGCAGCTAAAATCCCAGTAGAACCTACATCAAAACAATATTCTGTTTTCCCAAAATACTTGGGACATGGTACCCCAAACGTCAAACTGGTGTCCTCAAATTCCTGGAAAAACAAAAATGTCCAAGGATCAATGTGAAGACTGCCCCCAAAAAGAGATCATATGCCTTTTAATTGCTTCCAAAACAGAATAGGTCTTTTTCTTTCAGCATTCACAAAAAACAAGTTGCCATCCTTGAAATACAGTGGGAGATGGATTTCTTCTAGAACAGTGGCTCCCAACCTTTCCTATACCTTTTCCTTCAGATTGCCTAGATGCCTGGCAAGGTTTTTCAGAATTGGTTTGCCTTTGCCTTCTTCTTTTTAGGGTTGGCAGAGAGAGACTAGCCCAAGGTCATCCATCTGGTTTTATGCCTAAAACCAAACTAGGACTCACAGTCTCCTCGTTTGTAGCCTGGTGCCTTAACCACTACATTAAGCTGGCTCTCTAAGACTAGCCTGTATGAAAAGAATGGTGAGGATGGGCACACGTGTGCATCCATGCCTATGGGCCAAAGAGGGAGCATTCAATTTTGGGAATCCATGCCTGCAATAGAAAGCAATTAATACGGTTCAGATGTGATTGAGCACTGACCACAGGCAGACCCTTATCAGGGCTTTCAGGAAAAAAATGAGATAGATTGTTCACCTGGAATCAAATCTATATAGTGTAAAATGGGGAGGGGGGTCAGTGAATGTAGGCTTCTAACTAGACTGTGCAATCTTTGTGAATATTTTTCTGCAAACTTTTTTCTCTCTATTTATAAAGGCAATTGCAAGCCTTTGGCCAAATAGAAAACAGCTATGTATGTTTCATAACCCAGAAATGAATTAGGGGCTCTTTGAGTTCTTCCTCAAGTAGGAAATCAAAGCATATGAATCAGAAATCAGGCTATTTCATGATTACAAATTATCATTTTTTCTTCATTTTAACTGTTTATAGTACCTTTACACATCTGCAAGATGCAAAAACTTTATCTTTAGTTCCATTCAGGGTATGGAACTATAGTTTGCAGAACATTCAAGAAATTAAGAAATGAAAAAAGAAACTGGCTGAAAGTTATGCGGGAGAGGATTACACTTCTTTGTCATTTGTTAGCCTAGTGTATTGGTCTAACAAATGAAGAGATAGGGGACCCACAACCCTCACACTGTCCTGCCAGCGATGAAGCCTGACGTCTGACCAAAACAGAGCGACCTCTGGTTTGACACTTAGCATCTGTGAAAAAGTTGACTTTCAGAAATGATTGCAGTGACCTCTGTTTATTAATATGCAATTCTCTAAAGTGCTATGCGGTTACTTAAGGCCATATATCACCATATGTTAATAAGATTAACATGAGATTTCAAGCTGGAAAAGGATGTTGTGTTTAAGTAAACTTGGCCTTTGCAAAAGTTATTTGTTTCAATAATCCTGCATAATAGGGGAGATATTCTGGGAAACAGTCCAGGACAAATGAGGTTCTTTCTGTGGGAGATGGTTCAGATACAATGAATTACTTTTTCTAATTGCTTTTTTTTCCCCACAAAAAGATCGTGTTGGATCTTGTAGGGAAAAGTTTTATAAGGTTCTGTGTGCTGCAAACGTTACAATCCTAGATCTGGGAATAAGAAAGTAGCCAGTGAATGTAGTGGGAGCATCCACAGGAAACCTATATCCACTCGCCCTTCGTATCCACCTTTTCTCTATAAATCAGAAACTGGGGAAAAGAATATGGGATTGCCCCACATCATGCCTCTTCCTATAATGTGTTATTTATTAGACGTGGCAAAGGTGATTTCACTTGCAACCTAAAGAACTTAGTAGATAATGTGATTGTTTTGAACTTTCCACGAATGTACAAAAACCAGAGGCATAATTCAATTGGGAATTTACAAAAAAAGAGTACTGCTCTGTTTTAGAAAAGTCCTAGTTTGGAAAAGTGTGGAATATTTGAAAATAAAACTCTGATCTGTGGAGAAAAAGCTCTGATCTGGAACAAAATGGACACGTCAGAAAAGGAAGGGCTTGTTTGTTTCTCTACAACAAACCATCACATCTATGCCCCGCTGGCTACTTCCTCTCCGCTGGCCATTCCTTTCCAATTATTTCTATACTTGGGCACTGATATGTTGAAAATTCAAAGACATCTTTGATGAGGGAAGGCAATGGCAATACATCTCTGCTGCCTGTTTCCTGAAAGAAAGTGCAACTGTCCTGGGAATCACCATCACTCCTCATCCCATTTTTTTTTTAATTAAAAGTTTTAAAAATTTTTTACAATATATAATCCAAATCCCTCCCCCCCCCACTTCCCAGAGCTGATTACAGGGTTACAAATAAGCAATCATAATCTAACTAACATTACCCAACTCTACTAACAATCAAATCCATAATATTCTTTAACTCCTTTTCAAAATAAATATTAACAAATTAAAAACCAAAAATAATAATATAATCAAACAATAATACCAAAAATAATATAAATTCAATCATGTTAAACTATTAAAAATAATCTAAAATTTACTCATAAGCTAAATAATACTTTTTAGTCTCATATTTATTCTGAATAGAATCTATCCATCTTCTCTCTCCTCATCCCACTTTTGGGAGGCTGCCATCTACACTGTGCCAGATGCTTAAGTGGCATAATTGTATATCTGTATATCCCTCTGGGTTCGTTTTCTGTGGTTAAACTCTTGTCTGGTTCTGGATAACATTAGAGACTCGGATATATTAATTTTGCAGTCACTTAATCAAGATATAGTCACCACAATTATTTGTTTTCCCCATGTGAGAATGCATTAGCAGAAACAGAGTTTCGAATTTTGTGGCAGTTCCTTCCTAATGCCTTATCACTATTGGTTAAATGGTGATTTTTTTTCCTTTTATCAAAAACAAGATTCTAAGAGAGAGAGCATGTATTACTAGATTATAGGCTTGAATTCCCAGAGTAGAATTACTTCTTCTCATACACATTCAAAAAACAAAACACAACCCCAATCTGAATGGTCTTCCCATCTCCTCCAGAGCCAATTTATGGAAATGCTTTGGAAGTACTTGTTGCCCTCGACTTACGACCACCATTGAGTCCAACATTTCTGTTGCTAAGTGGGACATATGTTAAGTGAACTTTGCCCCATTTTACGACCTTTCTTGCCACAGTTGTTAAGTGAATCACTGCAGTTGTAAAGTTATTTACAACTGGGTATTAAATGAATCTGTCTCCCCCATTGACTTTGGTTGTCAGAAGGTCACAAAAAATGATCACTTGATCCCAGGACACTGCAGCCGTGCTAAATACGAACCAGTTTGTCAAGCATCCAAATTTTGATCACGTGACTGTGGGGACGCCACAAAGGTCACAAGTGTCAAAAATGGTCATGTCACTTTTTTCAGTGCTGTTGTAACTTTGAACGGTCACTAAATGAACTGTTGTAAACTGAGGATTATCTGTATATGCCAGGAATCAAGCACACCACATGTGTAAAGTAGCTGCAGAGATGAGATCTCTATTCAGTTGTGGATGTGTTCTCTTAGACCAGGGGTGTCAAACTGCTGGCCCGTGGGCCAGACACGTCATCCCAAAACTGTGCCCACCCCATTGCCGGCAATGGAGAAAAAGCTCTGATACGTCACACGTCACATGACGTCACGAGTTTGACATGCCTGTCTTAGACCATTTCTTAGCCGCTTCTTATTCCAGAGTTTCCAGCTTTTCTAGAGTCTGAAGCCTGCCTACATAATGCCTTTACTGTTGATACAGCCAGCCACCACTGCTCTTGTCCTGCATTAGCCATACCAGTAAGTCCCCAAATAGAGACTTGCTGATTAAGTTTCTTCACTACTTCAGAGGATTTGCTACTTTAGAGACAATCTGAATTTGATCATTAGAAATGAAATTAAGGAACGGAATCTGTTAGATGTGATTTCTCAAGTTTCCTGTCCTTTCCTCAGGGTCAGCTACGTCGGTGCAGTCTCAGCCTGCGAGTATTGATGCTGCTCTACACATTGCCAGAAATCGATTCCACCCTCTCAAGCCCCAATACAATCTTGACTGGGAAAGCAAACCCAAAGTTGCTCCACCTGCACGTTCTCCATGTGCAGAACGGCTACTTCGTAGACAGGTAAGCTGGGCTAGCAAGGTGGTCCTCTCATTTATTTTCATTCAACGTGCAAGCTGCAGGCTTAATCTGATGTGATTGCAAAATTATATAAGAAGCAGAAAAAAATTAGAAAGGTTGAAATAATGTGTCCAGGCTCCTCTCTCTCTGATGAGTAGAACATACATCTAGCGGGACCATAGTAACTGTGTTGGCCAATGTGGGCTGTGCAAGTCACATGTATGACTTCATGAAAAAAGCATTAATATCTGGCAAGAAGTGATAACTTTATCCTGATCCAGTCCTTGTTCTTGAGTCTTGCTGGCAGACTACACCCAAATTTATTCAAATGCTGTTTTAGTCTGCTGACTACTTCTAATTCCCTCTTTTGATGTCCCCTAGCTATGTAGTTGTGCCTCCTATAGAACATCTACCTTCATAACTGCATCAATTTATCACAATATTATTTTTAAGAAATTTATTTTTTCCATGTGTTGACTATTCTTTACATTAAATGAATTTTTAAGTCTCGTTGGCCCAAGCATTTTATGATGCCAGCCTTTCAGCTTGACAGTGGAACTCTCTTGAAAATTCTACAATTTTTATCTATGTTTTTTTTAATTTAGATCTTTTGCATTTAGGATTGAAAAATTGTAATCTTAAATGCAAAAGATCACTGTCATTTTCTCCAAATAGCATATTATACAAATTTAAGATTACTTCAGAGCTCAGTTTATTTAAAACCATTATTTCCTTTTCCCTGCTAACCAAATAAAGTGCATTTTTTTCCAAGGCAACTGTTTACATTAATATGGAGTATTAAAGTGGCAGGCTAAATTCCTAAAGTCTATTAAATCAATGCTGGCCTAGTCCAGGGTATAATAACAAACAATCAGATCGATTTCATGGCTCCAGCTCCTGAATGTGCTTCTTGTTGTTAAAAAGCTAACAGTCCAAACCTTTTTAATC